AAGAAAGAAAGAAAGAAGAGAAAATCTTCTGAAATGTTGACTAGGGTTGATGCGAGTCTCTGGATTACTTTGGGGAAAACTGAGATTTTGGAAATAATGACTTTCTTACTCCATGAACACATTGTATTTCTTCATTCACTTAGGTGTTCTACTTTGTTAAAAGTATTTATATTTTTGAATTGTGATCAATGGTATATTTCTACACTTTATTTTCTCTTCATTCTTAGTATATAGAAATACATTAATGTTCACATTCCCCTTGTGTGAACTTTTCTAAATTCACTTATTAATATAATAAATTACAGATTCTTTTGGATTTTAATCAATATGTCATATTCAAGGAATGATAATTTTCCTTATTTCTATATTATTATATTAGTTTTCTTGTGTTTTCCACACTGGGCTAAGCTCTTTGATGCAGCCTTAAGTAAGCATTATGATAGGAAGTATTTTTCTTTTCTCCTGTTATCCCCATGTTGAGATATGGCGGTGTCCAGAGTGTAGAATTCCTGTCTTCAAGAGCTATAAGATCTGGCTGCTCTTGATAGTGGCTAAGGAATCACATTGGAGGGTTGAATGTCCTTCAGTATTTAGGTACTTAATTAGAAAAATGCAGCTTTTATCAAGCAGATTAATTTTGTCTCATGGCCTAGAAAACATGAGAGGGGTTGCTGGTTCCCTGGTAAGAGCTATTTTGGCCTTTGACTTTTAGTTAGATAAGCTGTTGGCCAACTAGAGCCTCTATCTTTAATCCACCTAGCTTGGTGTGACCATATTCCCTCTTTTGTAACCAGTGGCATGTAGGACGGAGTGTTCTGTGGGACTCCTGATGCATTTCCTTAAATGGGCTGCTCTTCTTCTAACACCTGCAGACACGACTGTGAAAGTTGGAGCCTCAGTAACCACACCTTGGGCATGACAGAGCAGATCTGGAAAGAGCCATACTCTGTTCCTGACAATCTTGCAGGACTGTAGGAGGGACCAGCCCTAGTTTGCCACTGTCAGAACCCCTTCATAGGAGAAGTAAACTACAGTTCAGTCTCTCACTATTACTATGGGTTTTCTGTCATATAGGGAAGATGAATTAAACAAAGAATGGAGGTGTT